ACCCAATTGGCTTTGTGGGGTGCGTAAGTTGCTCCTCACAACCGATCCCACCTCAAGTTCACAAAGAGATAGTGTGGCAAGCCAAAAAACCACGGGAGGCCTTGTGGCAGAGGACGACGGTATCCCTGATCATGCCCAGGAGTTCCTCACCCGTCTCGTCTGCTCCGTCTCGTGCGTGGCATCCGAAAATATGGCCCACCTCACCCTTCCTCCAGTCTCCCCTCACGCCTTTCTCTCCCTCCAGGAGAATTAATTATGGGCACCAAGGGCGGAGACAGTGGGACCACAAGGCCCGACGAGGGTGGACAAATACTGGCAGCAGCTGCTCAGTCACAAGGGGGAGGAGCAGTGGAACCTGATGTCAAGCCCACCACTTGCCCGCTGCGCCCTCCTCTGTCCCAGCCTTGTAACAATTCCTTCCTCCTCTCCTTCCAAAGCTTTCTGGCCAGTAATCAAAATTCGGCCTGTGCGCTTAGTTTCTATCCCCCCTCTCCTCCAACGTGTCGACGCCGTAGTTCTTCCAGTTGAACGGCTGTCAGCAGCCGACCGATTCTTTAAAGCAACATAATGTAAGCCTTCATGCTACGGCTGGGACGTAAACATTCGCATGGGTGTATGGTGTATGGCAAGGAAGTTCGAAATATTGTCACCCTCCCCAGATACAATGGTCCCTTCACAACAAAACCGTCACAATCCACAATCTCAACAAGCTGTGTCTGGAGCTGATGTTGTAGAGGTAATGTGGGTGCTGCCCACGTGTAATGAAGCCTGTAGCCGAGCATGCGAGTATCTGAAACAGGGGACGTCAATCCTCTTCAGGGAAACAACATGAAGAAACATCCAGTGGCGTTGAACAGACAACGGGAACAATGAATCTGGCGAGCGCAACATAAGCACATTTTGATGGTCACCATCAAATGAAGCATGTCTCAAGCGCCGTCTGACCGAACACATGCGCACTTGACCACCAACGTCACAACTTGTCCTGAGGATGTCGAATCAAAAGTGTTTGGGAGCCTTGTTGTAATACTTCTGGTAATAGAATGCCAAGTTCTCAATGGTGATGCCGCCTCTGTCTGGGTCGTTCACGTCCTTTCTGAAAGCGTGCACCTCACCCTGCCAACTCAGGCGCGCTTCTTTGATTTTGGCCTGTTGTCTCCCAACATGAACCTGTTCTCCCCTCTGTCAGGCAGCATGCGTTCAAAAAGGCACTGAGACGCACCTTTCGTACCCTCCTGGAGCATGAACGGGATGGATTGTATTTAGGAGGGGGTCGTCGCAACTCCGCGCAGTTGTGGGCAAGAGCTACAGCAGGTGCTGGCAGCGAGGAGGGTGGAAATGCTCAGCGCCGACAGCGAACCCCGACGGCTTTGACATCCCCGCTGCTGCCAGCAACGCGTCTGGCCATCTGCCTTCTCCCAAATCGGTGCGGGGAACCTCACGTGGACGAGGGGGGGGCGGAGTGGATCCCTGGCGGGCGTGCCCACCCCGTCTGACGTCCGCGGAACGAGCGTGGATGGGTACACAAAACTGGGTGCAAGGATATCCACCACCATGCCCTCAGCACGTAGTGGAGTGGCCGAGGGCTCCCACAATTGTCAACGTTAGAAGGGTGGATTTACGAGAAGGCTCCTACCCCCAGTTTGAAAGGACTCCTGGGATTCCCAGGATGTGTCGCGTGAGCCTTCAGGAAGCTGAGCCCGCCCAAAACGACCCCGAGATCTCCTGATGTTCTACCCCACGAGGCGGCCCAAATGGCACAGGATGCCCTCGGGAGTTTCTGGAAGACCCCGGGTGACCCCATGATGCCCAAGAGAGAGCCCGGAGCTCCCCAGAGAGGCTTCAAGACGCTCCAAGACAGCTCCTGTGGGCTGTTGAAGATGCCTCCAACAGCCCTCTGGTGAACGAGCTAGGCACAATGACGGAATTTGCCGCAGGCACCTGGGTACAACCCACAGCCCGGGCCACACGAGGAGGAGGACAACGAAGAGGAGGATTAGAGGGAGGATGACGATGAGGATAAGGATAGGGATGATGATGAGGAGGATGATGAGGAGGCGGAGGAGGAGGGCGTATGTCTCATCGAGGCCGCTTCCCCTCGCCTTCGAACCCATCAGGGCGCGCGCGCGCGGGCTGTCATTCTACAGCTCCTGTCTTCCGGCGTTTGCTTCACGTGACCGAGAGGATGCTGCGCATCTCGCTGCCGAAAAAACAAAGGGATGGAGGGAAAGCGGGGGGTCGAGTGGCGCGGGATCGGGCGCGGGCAGATTCACTGATGCGCGACGAGGCCGTGTGCCGAGGTGCAGACTGGAGCGGAGGCTGCAGCGAGAGGCGCGGCGTGGAGTGGGGGCCTCGCCCCCCCCAGTCCCTCCCCAGTCTGGGTGTTGCCAAGATGTGTCCCTTGCCAGAAGTGTCCCCCAGCTCTTGAAGGGGCCCTGGGACGCACAACTAAATAGACGCAAATTCCAGGATTGCCCACATTTTCCCATATTTCCTGGGTTTCCGTCTTCCCCCCACTTCCCAAATTTTCCTCATATGTTCCAGGGGAGTCGACGATCAATTGTGTCTGTTTTTTTCCCCCCTCCTGAGTGTTGCTAAGATGTGCCTCTGGCCACGAAGTGCCCCCAGCTTTCCCCGCTCCGTCCTGGAGCCCCCGGGGCCTCTGCCCCTCGTGCTGGGGATGCTCTGGAGGCCGCGGGGAGCTCCCTGGAAGTCCCGGGGGCACTTTGTGCCAGGACACCCTCCTCTCCTCCTCCTCCTCCTCCTCCTCCTCCTCCTCCTCCTCCTCCTCCTCCACCTCCACCTCCCCCTCCTCCTCCTCCTCCTCCTCCTCCCCCTCCTCCCCCTCCTCCTCCTCCTCCTCCTCCTCGTCGTCGTCGTCCTCCTCCTCCTCCTCCTTTCCTCCTCCTTTCTTCCTCCTCCTCCTCCTCCACCTCCTCCACCTCCTCCTCCTCCTCCCTCCTCCTCCTCCTCCTCCTCCTCCTCCTCCTCCTCCTCCTCCTCCTCCTCCTCCTCCTCCTCCTCCCCCTCCCCCTCCTCCTCCATCACCCGACCAGTCCCTTCCCTGACCTTCGGGAGGGCCTCCTCCGATCGCCCTTTCGCTGCGCCTTGCGGTGGCCTTGACGTGGCCCTCGTGGTCAGGAGAACGGGCGACGCCCCGCCCACTGGTGGTGATCTGGGCGCCCTCCCACTGCCCGTCCCCCTCCGCGTGACGGGTGGCCTTCTGGGACGTGCGGCTACTGTACCGTCGATGCCTCCTCGATGGGGTCCGAGTAGATGGGGTCGGAGGATCGCGCCGCATCGCCAATGTATCGCTGATGCATCGGCGATACATGATCGACATCGGCGATACGTAAGCGCCGTCGGCGTGGAGAAAATCGAGCTCCGCATGGAGTCGCATCAGTGATCCATCGGCGATGTGGCGCGATCCTCCGACCCCATCTACTCGGACCCCATCTATGAGGCCTATATACAAATACAAGGGCCTTCCTAGACGGGGTTTCCGCTCTCCACGCTCGTCCCAGGGAGGCTGCCCCAGCTGCTGCTTTCTCTCCTGTCCTGGGGACCCCCCTTCCTCAAGCATGTGGGGCGGGCACAGCTGTACTGCCCGTGGGCGAGGTGGGGGGGAGGGATACTTGAGGGGAGGGGCGTGCATACCTGGGAGTTTCTCGGACCGAGCTACGCCGTTAGGCTGCGGTGCTAGACCCATGCGGCAAGAGATAAGCTGTCCGAGAGCCAACCCTGAGTGGGAGGTGCCGCTAAAGGGGCCGTGCACGCGGCCTCATTCAGCACCTAATCAGACCACCAACCAACCAACCTAGTCCCAGCCTCCCCTCCCAAACCTTCCTCCTCCAACCCCTTCTGTCCCTCCCTGCCTCCTGCTCCATCTCCATTGTTCCTGCTTCCCAAAGCCAATGGACAGAAGTGAAAAATGAGCATCGAAAAAGAGCGCGTCTGATGGGGGAGGCGCGCGAACCTGATATCATGATGGCCCTCCCGTCGGGATTGCCATCATTCCGGATGCCTTCCCTTTCCCGCTGGTTGCGCCGTTCTGGATGCTCTGTAATAAGTGCCAGCGCTGATGAGAACAACTGTTCCAGACTGCTTGGCCGAAGTCAAACTGCGATGCAGGGTCGACTCGTGTAATTCTCCCTGGAGCTCTCGCGCACCCCCAGTGAGGTCTCTTCAGCGGACTGGAAACAGTCGCGGCCAGGGCTACCGAGGCTCGAACGAGCACTCCGACATATACAACTCCCAACCCGACACATGCTCTTAAGTCGGGCCCGTCCCCCAGGAAAAGTGAACCATACTCAGAACATGTTCCAAACCTGGCCAAACATAATCACAACATCCTCCCATTTTTTTTTTTTTTTTTTTGTTGTGTGGAATTTCCCCCTTGTAGAGGGGCAGGCCCGACTTAAATTTGCTCTCGAACCGAACAAAGCCTGGAATTCCTGCTTGCACTCCACCGCGTCTGGACACCCTAAGTCTCCGAAGGCCCTCGCCCTGCGCCGGCGGCGCAGCCCCTCGCCACCAGGAGGTGCAGCTCGAACCTGTGGGCCGCACGTGCGCTTTTCTCGCCGACTCGGGCAGGCCAGCAGAGGACTGCGAGTCCGGCGTCGTCGTCGTCGTCGTCGTCGTCGTCGTCGTCGTCGTCGTCGTCGTCGTCGGTCGTCGGTCGTCGGTCGTCGGTCGTCGGTCGTCGGTCGTCGGTCGTCGGTCGTCGGTCGTCGGTGTTGTTGTTGTCGTCGTCGTCGTTGTTGTCGTTGTTGTTGTTGTTGAACATTATTAATTCTAAAGAATAATTATTGTTGGGACCCCTGGTGCACGGCCCCCCTGCGCCGCCTAGGCCGCAGCTACATTTTCATTATTTTCGTGAGGAAGCCTCAGGTAATACGATGTCATCAAGATCCGGTTGTTTTGTTGTAATCCGTTTTCCCTTGCAAAAAACACTATAAAATGACATTTCTTGTTCTAATATAATCAAATTTCAAGAATCCCTTGCAAAAAATAAGGTAAAGTGGACATTCGCGCGCGCAAGACGAAATCCTTCCAAAAGCTTAGTGTTCGGAGCGATTTTAACATAAAAACATCAAAAAACCAATGGTTTTTCAACAAAAAAATGTCAAAATCTCATCCCGCGCGCTCTTGCGGATTCGTAGGAAACCCAACACTTTTTAAACATTTCTGTCAAACGGGCTTTTGCGAGCAACTTTTTCGAACTTCTGCGACAACGGTTGCGCACCTGCCAGGGCCATCATCCCTGTCAAATAATACCATGCGGGACACATTCGTTTTTTCTTCGCGCGCGCACGCCGAAATCTCCAAAAACCATTGGGTTTCTTAAGAATTTTAGCACCGCGCATCATAAAATCACACGAATCGCACCGTAGGTCCTCGAAAAACACCTGCACGACTTTTCAAAATTTCCACCCGCGCGCGCTGTCCGAATCCTAAAACAACCAATGGTGTGTACCCCACGCCAGTGTAGTAGCCACGGTCGTCCGCACGCCACGAAGTGAAGTGTCCCAACGTCATAGGGCGGGAAGCTGGGTTTGGGTGGTCGCGAAGAGTCGTTTGGATATTTGGTAGAGCTTGTAATGCCCCCCCACGAAGTGGGGGTATTGGCTGGTGTCGTATGAAAACCCTGGCACTGGGGAGAACACCACGCGTTCGGGTAAAATGATTGTTGTTGTTGTTGTTGTTGTTGTTGTTGTTGTTGTTGTTGTGTCGTCGTCGTCGTCGTCGTCGTCGTCGTCGTCATCGTCGTCGTCGTCGGTCAGCGGTCGTGGTGTTGTCGTCGTCGTCGTCGTCGTCGTCGTCGCTTGCCGGCGGCAAAGTGGGGGCAGGGGGGTCTGGATCCACCTCCCCTCCTTGCCCAGTGGGAAAGGGGAATTACGATCCCCCCACCTCCGAAGCGCACGTGAGAGAAACTCTCCCTGAAGAAAACAAGCCGTGTAGACACTTTGTGTGCCATTTGCTTGCTGCCATGTGCAACACAATGACGCGGAATGTCTCGCATTTTCCTCACCACTTTCCGCCTCGCAAGAAAGGACGGTCTCCTCAGCGTCATCAGGGCCCAGTCCTCAATCGCGAAGCTGCAGAATAGAGGCTCGCCAGTACCGATATCATCGACGCAGTCCACACCGAAGATGTCGAGTTCCTGCTGCTCTCATGTCTTCAGCTAGCCGTGCTGCTGCTCCCCCTGCCTTGCTTTTCATTACTCTCCGCGGTGTTTTTTTGCTTGCCACGGGGACAATCAGGAACAACTCATCGTGAAATCCGCTGCCCCTCCTGGGGGGCTACCCCATTCACGCGAGACACGGGCAAGCGAACACAACGAGACACGTGCATTGTAAGTCGTGACAATGCATCGCGTCACGATGAAAAGAATTCAGTGGCAATTTGGCGAGCTGCGTCGAGACAAGAATTAGGTTGCATATCAGTGTCACCGACTCTGGTCCGCAAATGGCAGCCGCGGAAAGAAGAGGAAGAGGGCAAACTCATGCCTGTGTTGGGCGAAATATCTCGGCTTCGTGCTGGGGTCGGAAAGCGAGGCGCGGGTGCGGTAGGCAACCGTCGAGAAAGCCAGCGGGCATGCCCGTCTGTGGTCTTCGATCGAGCTCGGGCTGTATTTCGCCGCCGTCGTGCACCGGGTGTACGTTGTCTCCACGCTGGGTTTTATGCTGAAGTTTGAACCGCTTCCAAGTGAGAGGCCGGTCACCGAGGCCAGAATCCTATGTCTACTGGTGCGCGGCCCGTTCAGGTGGTGCGTCCCTGATGACCTGCACGGCCCCCGCGGGACTCTAGCTTCCCACAAGAGCTCCAAGATTTACGCATCGTGAGCGCCGCGGCGAAATTCCGCGACTGGCACCGCGAAGCTTGGGTACAAGGCGGACTGCAGTGCGTGCCTCCGCTCCGATGCTTGGAGGCGCTGCTTCGCGAATCCCAGCGCTTCCACCGCCTGGCGCGGTGGGCCGGATGGCGGCCGACTTCGTATTACCAGAGGCTGCGGGCCAACGCCGATGCGCACAGGCGGCAGGGCATCACGCTCCTTGAGGCGCAGCGCCATGCGGTCGGCACGGCGGCGCGACCAAGGGCCCTTGATCAGGCGCGCTGGGCGGAACAGGGGCTTCGGCGCGCGGTCGGCAAGCTGCTTCTCGCCCGGCAGCGGAGGGTGCCTTAGGCGCGCATGCGCGCCAAGCTCGAGCACTGGGAGGTGGCGCTCTTCCCGCGGCTGCGAGCGCAGCGGGCAGTGACTGTCCTTCACCGGCTCGCCGTCCTGGTTCCTCCTCGAGTTGCGGCGGCAGTCTGGCGCACGCTCTGGTCGGGGTGGTGTGCTGCGAGGCGCTTCGGCGGGCGCGCAACTTACTTGTTCTGCGGCCTCGAGGACAGGGATTCAGTGGAGCACGCCACGGTGTGCCGCGCGCTTGCCGAGTTCGGGGCGGGCCACCGGCGGCTGCCGTACTGGCGCGACCGCGAAACGCGGCGGCTGGACTTCTTGCAGCTGGGGCCGCAACCCGAACTCGCGGACGCTCGGCTGACGCTCGGGCCGCAGCTACCGGCTGCACTGCAAATTTCGTCGTCGGTGATCGGCCTGAGCGGCGAGCAGGCGGTGCGCCGCGCGCTGGATCCAGCCGTCCACGAAGCCTTTCGAGGGCATCTCCGGGCCGCTGCGGTGCTGGACACGCGGCAGCGGTGAGCTTCTGAGACTGGCGTGCCTCGGTGGCCCCCTCGTCGGCCACGCGGCCTGGGCGGCAGGTGGCGCCGTCGTGCAGGCGCGCGAAGCCCACAGCTTCGTCCGAGGGCCGCCCCCCCCGTCTCGAAGGCCATCGAGACCTGCTCGGAGTGGTGGCGGTCTCGCTTGTCGTCGGCCTCCGCGGCAGCGAGACTGTCATCGCTCGGACGTCCACTCCCCGTGCATTTTTCGGTTTCGTGCATTTATTCATCGCGCGGTGATCCAAGATGCTCCTCGATGGTCCTCGCCGAGAGAGAGTGCAGACGTCCGAGCGATGCCAAGGAGACCTTCTTCCTCGGATCGGTGAAGCCTGCATGGGGCACAGGTCGAGTTGCACGCAGGTTGCCAGCCAATTCGCGAAGATGGATCAGTCAGCACTGGGATCGTCCTCCTCCCTCCTCCTCCTCCTCCTCCTCCTCCTCCTCCTCCTCCTCCTCCCTCCTCCTCTCTTCCCCTCCTCCCATCTTTCCCTTCTTTTCTAAAACTCCTCCCTTGGCGGGCCGTCCTGCTTTTCGAGTTCCTCCTCCAACTGCTTCATGGGATCGGCATCGTTGTCGTCGTCCTGGTCGTTGTCGGGCTTGTTCTCTTCGTCGCCCTTCTTTTCAGCCTGGCGCACGAGGAGGGGTGAGAAGAGGACGAGGACGCAACCCAGAGATAACCACTCTGTGCCTGCACATTCTTTTCGTTCATCCCTCGAGCAGCGCGGGCGTCAGAGCTGTTGAGTCGAGCACCCCAGCAAGGCTCGCCTTCCGTCCAGCTCGTCGACCTTATTCGCGGCTTGTCTCCAGCTGCGTTCGCTTCCAATACTGTCCATTTCTGATCTGTAGCCGAGCCTGGATCAGGATGGCGACAGAGCCCCCCTGACTAGTCCAAGCCAGGCAAGGAGGCCTCAGCATGCATGTCCTGGAGCAGCCGCTAAAACTCATTGCTTTCCGTGGATCTCCTGGCGCCCCAGACAACGGCATCCTATGCTTACACATGCGTAATCGACCTTCTGGAGCAGTGGGATTGCTTGCAGGCGGCCTTCCACGGGCTGCGTTGCGAGGGGACTGTCTCGCCTTCATCGCAAAGATGCAGGGGCTGTCCCCTTGGGGCAACTATCTTCTATCTTCGCGCTTCGCGCTTCGCGAAGCGCGTTTATCTTCGCGCTTTCGCGCCGCGCCCCCCCCTGGAACAGAATGAGGGACTCGCGCCTCGCTCGAAGGTCGCCCAGATCGCGAAGCGCGACGAACTTCGCATCCCTGCCCCTAAGATCGGCAAGCCCAAAGCGATGACAATCTTGGAGATGCGCCCTCAGAATCGGAAGGACTCCTTGTAAGCTCGGCTCCGGGGTAAGGCGATGCCAAACACAGGGGCAGGGATGGATGTGTGTTCAAGCTGGTGGCTCGCCAGGGACGGGGCGGCACCGAAGAGGAGGCAGAGGGGCAACCGCGGCGCCAGGCCTCCTCGTGAGGCAGGGGGGGAAAGAGGGGGGCAGGAGGTTGGGGAGGAGAGGGAGGAGACACGATCAGGGAAACATCCTCCTGCTCCTCCTCCTCCTCCTCCTCCTCCTCCTCCTCCTCCTCCTAGCAATGACATTGACCTGAAAGACTCGGAGGCTCGCGCGCGGCCCCGTCCCGTTTTCTTTGCCGCGCGATCCTGTCTGGAGGGGGGGGGAGGGCCGCCGCTGGGCGGCACGATCGCGGACGTGCGCCCTGCACGCGCGCGCAGACGCCTGGGCGCCGAACTAGCGGCCGCCCTCTGGCGGCAGCCTGCCTGCACGCCGGGCTGCTGGCGGCGAGAGTCCAGGGGCGGGCGCGGGGGCGGCGCAGGGGCTGGGGGGTATCCTCCTCCTCCTCCTCTTGGTCCTCCTCCTCCTCCTCCTCCTGGTCCTCCTCCTCCTCCCTCCTCCTCCTCCTCCTCCCCTCCTCCTCCTCCTCCTCCCTCCTCCTCCTCCTCCTCCTCCTCCTCCTCCTCCTCCTCCTCCTCCTCCGCTTCCTCCTCCTCCTCCGTGGGAAGCATCGCGAGACGTGTCACGAGCTGTTTTCCGACCTCCTTCAGAGCCGTTCGAGTCCTGGGGAGGAAGAGGATACGGAGCAACCTGGTGTACAGACCCTTGTACAGCCCCCTGCCCCTTCCGAACTCGGCGGTCTCGATGAGGATTTAGACTGGATTTTTTCTTAGAAGGTTTCGAGGAGGAAAACCCTTGGGCCGATGAGAGCAGTTTTCAACCCGTGGCGTCCAGGGCTGAGGCGTCTAGGACCCAGTCTGGTGAAGGTTCGAGTGGAGTTGAGCGCGCGGAGCGCGCCGATGAGTTGGGCAAAAGTTCGAGGAAGCGTCGCGCCGACCTCAGCGAAGACACCACCCACAACCCACCAGCTAAGGGTGTCACTGACATCCTTTCCGACTCGCCTGCTACTGCTACTGCTGCTCCTCTCGCCCCCTCTTTTGCTACACTGGAGTCAGTTTGGCTCAAGCATTGGGCGCAAGTCGGTTGGCAAACACATTCTTCTTCTGATGTTTGGCCTGCAGCACGAGAGCCTTTGGCGTACGCCACTGCAGGGCCACACGCACTTCACGTCAATTCTCGATATGCGTCTTGGGTGATGGCAGTCGAGAGAAGTACCAGCGAACATCACGGGCTTCCGGCACCTCGACGGTCCCGAGCAGATGGGCCTTATCAGGAGATCGGCGAGGTGCACCAAGCAGAGCACATTCGTGATGAGCCTCTGCGAGTTGCTCACGCCTCCTGGTGGAAACGCATGCGCACAACAGTACAATGACTGGAACGGTATCGTAAGCGTAAGAACGGCAGTATTGAGCGAGAGCGCCCGGAAGCTTGTCAACACAGCGCCTGCAGGTGTTGACGAACTCTATCCTCCAAGCAATGGCGTGTGGACCGACTTCGCGCCGGAGCTGAGGAACCTCTCGCAGCTCACGCTTCAGCAACTGACCGACAACATGGGTAATATTTTGGATCGAAGAGCTAAACGAGGGCGCGCTCGGGCCACCAGTCAGTCGTTACGTGAGTTTCGGGACTAGATCCGCACCACAGGCGCGTTGGGCATCGCACACAAGAGTATTAAGCAGAACCCAGTTGAAGTACATGAATTACATCTGAGGGCAAGTGTGCCGCTCACCCCATGGAGATGGTGGGCAAGAAAATGGAGTTCTGGCATCGTAAGCGGAGCTCCGACACCTTGTCGGCATCGGCTTTCCTGGAGGTCATGCACACAGTCCGTCAGCAGGCACAGATCGAACATATGGAACCTCTTACAGTATCAGGTCTTCGGCGCACCTTGGCGCACATGAAGCCGAAGGCAAGTTTAGGTTGCGACCAGATGTCTCCACTGGATTTTGAAAGATTGCCCGACGCTTGTCTGGAACAGCTGTGCCAACTTTACCTTCTCATCGAAGAAGGGCTGGCATGGCCGTGGCAGATCATGTCACAGTCGGGCGGGTCTTGGGGAAAAAGCCTGGCGGAGATCGGACTGACTTCCATGATACATCGGTTGTGTTAGCAAGTAGTGATCAGATGCATGCTTGGGCTGCTCAGTCTGCACCACATTGGGACGCAGCAGTGGCAGGAAGCAGTGCGCTTCGCGAAGCGTTTGTGCGAGCTCTCGATTCAGAAGTGTGTGCACGCATGAATACGGCGCAAGGAGAAGCATGAGTTGTCTTGGTAGCATTCTACGCCAACGTGGAATACCCCGATTCGAGCGGACACTGCACTTCGACTGCGTTTTCCACCAGCAGTTCTCTGTCTGGAAATGCAGACGTGCGTGATGCCAAGGGTGTTGCCTCAGTGTGACCCCCTTTCCATTGCCTTTTCCTTTCCAGATCACACGAGGGCTCATCCAAGGGATCTGAGGCAGCGTTCGCTTCGGGAGATGTTTCGTATATTTTGTGCTGCAGAGGTTATGTATGCCACGCACAGGGATGTCGGAGCGGATCTGGATAGATGATCTCGCGCAGAAGACCATGGGCTCTCGAGCTCAGGTCAAGCGAGATCTCATCGAGGGCACCACGGACACGGTCGCAAGTTTCAAACAGGTATCGCTCAGTATTGCAGCCAAGAGCGTAGCGACATGCTCCTCACACGCCCACGCCAAGTCGGTAGTTCGAGTGCTCAGGCGGAGAAGTATACACATCACGGCGGCACTGCAATCAACATATCTTGGAGTGGATAGGGCAGTGGAGTTCGGCATGGACGGTCTACCGCTCGCAAACGAGTTATCAAAGCAGGTATGCAGCACAACAAACTACGACGTATGGTGGCAGCAGCACGACGGTATCAAGTCACGTCGCGAATTGAACGAGCAGGACCACAAGCAGTTGAGTCGCATGGACATCAGATATATGGTAAGTTTGGCAATGATATGGCGCCTCAGAGGCGGCGGCTAGGCGCAGCCTCAGGAGCAATTCGGCGAGGTCGGTGTGTCACCACGCCGACCGGGATTCGTGCAAAGCATGCTGACCCAGGACTTGTTCTTCCGAGGCAATGTCTGGCTCAGTGGCTGCAGATGTGGATCACAGAACCGTCGGTTCGTGCATGAGTGTATCGAGTATGGCCTCAGATGGTGCAGCAGCTTCGATAGCTCCCTGAGGCGCACAGGTCGCGACTTATCCACGGCCCAGTGTCGACTGTAGTGGCGTACTTATTGCAGGCTGGCTGGAATCCGACTTCTCCATCGGAGTGGGACCTTCCTAATGTCAATGGGCAGGGGCTTCACGCGTGAAGTTCGGTGATGATGCCCTGTGCTCGTTGGATCAGGCAGATGATTTGTTTCGGGAGTTCGAAGGATCGTTGGCCTTGCGACAGTGGCGCGAGGCAACACACTTACATTGTGGCAATGGGTTGGAAGACGGTGCGGACTTGCTCAATCTACGCCGTTCTATTGACAGCCTCTAGCACGTGCACAAAGGACGGCAGCTTGCCGAGCTTATGGTGACGATAGCAGTTGGAGGTGTTTGGACAAATGCGCATAAATTAGCAGTCGACATAGGCACCAACGATACGTGTGATCGATGTTCTGAGGCTCCTGAGCCCGACGTCCACAGGAATTGGCTGTGCGCTTGTAATCGATGGGGCAAAGCGATTGGGCAGTCAGAACATCTCATACCACAAACAGTTGCCGATCATGATGAGCGCTCATGTTTCTGCAGTCGAGGTATTATTCCAGCTAGGTGGACGCGTGTTTCGCCCCCCTAGTGCAGTGGAAGAGTGGTCAATAAGTATTACTGTTGAGAGTCAGGCGTGTCTCGGACATGGCACCACTGAGTGCCCACTGTATGCTTTTGGAGATGCTTCTGGAGGCCCAGACACCCATGATGTACGTTTGCGGCGAGTTGGGCTTGCAGTTTGTGTGATCAATTGCTTCACGCCTTTCACGATTGGTCCTTTCTTAAAGAGACCATTGGCAGGAGGGACTCAAACCGTGCCCACAGGCGAGCCCACGGCATTTGAGCTCGCCATTTATTGTTCCACTGGAGTCTTAATTTTCATTACACATTGTTCGGAAGTGTGTCGAGCATGGTGGTTTCAGCTCAGCACCTCGTGGAACAACGTCGGCCAGTATCCGACATCATAGTCATGCAAACTCCTTCACATTTGAGTGTAGAGGAGGTGTGCGCCGAGCGTTGGCCTAGCTGGATGGTGCAAGGCAACGTCGCAGTGGATCACCTGGCATGAGCGGCAACGGAAGCAGCACGTGTCTCGGCAGAGGAGGGCCACATAGCTATGATGGTGAAGAAGAATGCCCTGCACGCTCGTAGACGTTTGCCCCGTGCAAGGCTGTGCTCTATTCAGCGTGAGGCCGTGAAGAAGGCCGCCACAGCTGCAGCGAACCGTGCGGCACGTGCGGCCTCTCAGGCCGCTGAGAATGACAATGGCTTCTCCCACGCTCCGTGTCCTCTTTCTCCTCCCCCTCCTCCTCCTTCTCCTCGTCCACCTCCTCCTCCTCCTCATCATCATCATCATCGTCCTCTTCCTCCTCCTCCTCCTCCTCCTCCTCCTCCTCCTCCTCCTCCTCCCCCTCCTCCCGCACCGTCTATCGTTGCTCGTTTGGCGACGGCACGCGCCCGTACTGCCAAAATGGTAAGTCGTGCTCTGCGTGCCGCGGGTCCGCCACTTTCGCCGCCTCGTCCAAATGGCTAAACAATTATTCACTGCGTGGAGCTCCCCATATGTGCATCTACTCGCATAGACCTGTCCGCCGTGAATGTCTAGGCGCAAGAGCTTTCGAATATTAACGGGCTTCAGTTGTGACGGTCTGGACATCAATCTAACTGCGAATGAATTGGAGTGTGAATGAGCCTCAGTAGTACGAGCGCGTCTCTGTGCATGAGCCTGGGGCCTCCTGGGGCCTCCTGAAACCTACTGGGGCTTCCTGGGGTCTCCAGGAGCCTCTTGGGACCTCCTGGGACCTCCTAGGAAGGTTTCGTGCCCCAGGGGAGGCGCAATCTATAGCAACAGACGTACATAAAACATTGCGGATTAGAGCCACAGGAGAAGGGCAATCTATAGGAACACGCGTAAAACACCAAGGACTCGTGCCCCAGGAGAGGCCCAATACATAGGAACATGAGTAAAACATTTAGGATTGTGTACACAGGAGAAGGACCATCTATAGAAACATACGTAGAACATCAAAGAATCGTGCTCCAGGTGAGGCCCAATCGATAGGAGCATACGTAAAACACATGGGATTGGAGCCACTCCTGTTGCCTTCTGAGGCCTCCTGCTCCTGGGGCCTCTCGGGGCCTCCTGTTGCCTTCCGAGGCCTCCTGGCGCTTCCTGTTGTCTCCTGGGGTCTCCTGTGGTTTCCTGAGGCCTTCTGGAGCTTCCTGGGGCCTCCTGGAGCCTCTTGGGACATCCTGTGGCCTCTTGAGTCTTTCTGTGGCCTCCTGATGCCTCCTGGGACCTCATGTGGTCTCCTGGAGCCTCCTGGAGCCTGTTGGAGCCTCCTGTGGCATCCTGAGAAGAATCTGCGCCCACGAGCCTGGCCACCAAAACTAGCAAACCGATCGAGACATCCTCAAAATCTGGCCCACCTGGGGGGTGAAAATGAGCGCCTCGCTCGAGACATCCTCCAAATCTGCTCCGAAAGCGAAGGATGTTGGGCACAGAAACAGGCAAACCGCCTGAGACATCCCCACAAAATGGCCGCGAACGAGCCCGTGCAACCACCCCTGGCGGCTCCCCTTAGGGGTGCTGAAATGAGCGCCTCGCTCGAGACATCCTCCAAATCTGCTCCGAAAGCGAAGGATGTTGGGCACAGAAACAGGCAAACCGCCTGAGACATCCCCACAAAATGGCCGCGAACGAGCCCGTGCAACCACCCCTGGCGGCTCCCCTTAGGGGTGCTGAAATGAGCGCCTCGCTCGAGACATCCTCCAAATCTGCTCCGAAAGCGAAGGATGTTGGGCACAGAAACAGGCAAACCGCCTGAGACATCCCCACAAAATGGCCGCGAACGAGCCCGTGCAACCACCCCTGGCGGCTCCCCTTAGGGGTGCTGAAATGAGCGCCTCGCTCGAGACATCCTCCAAATCTGCTCCGAAAGCGAAGGATGTTGGGCACAGAAACAGGCAAACCGCCTGAGACATCCCCACAAAATGGCCGCGAACGAGCCCGTGCAACCACCCCTGGCGGCTCCCCTTAGGGGTGCTGAAATGAGCGCCTCGCTCGAGACATCCTCCAAATCTGCTCCGAAAGCGAAGGATGTTGGGCACAGAAACAGGCAAACCGCCTGAGACATCCCCACAAAATGGCCGCGAACGAGCCCGTGCAACCACCCCTGGCGGCTCCCCTTAGGGGTGCTGAGTATGAGTAAGTCTGTGTATGAGTAAGTCTGTGTATGTGTACGTCTGGGTATGACTAATACTGTGTATGAGTAAGTCTGTGTATGAGTAAGTCTGTATATGAGTATGTCTGAGTGTGAGTAAGTCTGAGTATGAGTAGGTCTGAGTATGAGTAAGTCTGAGTATGAGTAAGTCTGTGTATGAGCAAGTCTGAGTATGTCCGACAGGAGGGGACGAGAAAAGAGGAGGAGGAAGAAGGAGGAGGAGTAGGAGGCGTCCAAGTAATAACAAAGCCCCCACCTTAGGATATGGGGAAAAATGAGTGCAGCGCCCTGATTTCCAATGATGGTAGCGTGCCTCGGGTCAAGAGGGGGTGTCTTATGCATATCGCTGGAGGTTGGGCCCGCCCCTCTCACGCCCTAATGCATCACCACTCGTCAGGAATGCGGTGCTGCATGGGTGCGGATACGTCGGACAATCCCAACTCAGGGGATTAGGTACCGTTTGCATTTGCAAGTTACCCATTTCCAAGACTCGTCGCGAGTATCTCGATAGGATTCGACGTGACGAGCCTCCCAAGTGCAAGTGATCTGAGTCTCGAACAATGGCTTGAGCAGTGGATTTTATATTTTCGCTACGCGAAGGCTGTAATTCCTGTAATTCGGTTCGGGGCTGGGTTCAGGTAGTTCGGAGGTTTTCCTCTCTGATCCGGCGCAGCCCTCTGGCTTCCCGGAGAATTAAGCCCTACTGCAGGGCCAAGGAGCCAAGGAGGACGAGACGACGCCAACAAAAACCCTCCGCCTCTCGCTCGTAACTCGAAGCTGGTGGCACTGGATCCGTTCAGGAGCAGCCATCCCCCCTTCCACTCCTCCTCCTGCCCCTCCTCCTAGCAAGTGGGGAAAGGCAACGAGTCTCAGTGATCCTCAGAACGTGCGTTAGCGCCAACGTGTGCTTGTCCACCGAGGCCCTTCAATACGACGCAGGCGGCGTGCTGAGGGCTGGCGCAGGCTGCGCTCTACCGGTGGGGCTGGGCAGGGTAAGCACACGCGGGGCTAACACGCGTCTGGAGGATCACCGAGAAGCGGGGCACGCAGCTTGCTGTCCTCCGGCAGGAGGCGACAGCGCATCGAGGAAAGCCCCCGGCGGCGAGGCCGCAACTGGCTTTGGGCAGCAGATTTCGAACCCCCATTCACCACCCTTTCTCAGGAGGGGAAAAAACGCACGCAGACACAATTCATCGTCGATTCCCCGGAAAATATGGGAAAATATGGGAAGTGGGGGGGAGACGAAACTCCAGCAAGTATAAGAAAATATGCGGAATCCTGGGATTTGTGTCCATTTTTTTTTGTGTGTCTCTGGGCCCCTTTACTTTGGTCCGACCCAGGGGGCGAGGGGCAACACACACAACACTGCCCTGCATCCTGTGCCCCCCGAGGGTCGCCCTGCAGGAGAGCCCCCCAGGCCACCCCTGGACTTTCGGCAAGCATGTCTATTCTTATGTCGGGCCTGCCCCCCTACAGGGGGATCTTGGGCAACAAATTAGAGATACTCCAAACATTCCAAAGACAAATCAAAAGATGCAAACAAATCATCCCCAGACTATTTTTGAATATTCCTCCTGTAGAGGGACACGCCCGACTTAGGTCCGTTCTAATTAACTGGCGGCTGCTGCGGCCGCAGCCTCGGAGAAGAATTCTCTGGCGCGCGATCCCTTCTCGGCCGGCGCCAGGCCGACGTGCGCGCCCGCGTGGCCACCGACCGCGCGACGGAATACGGCGATGTAGTCACGGAGGAACAGCTCGCCTAAGACTATCAATGTCTCGCCCTCCAGCTGCTCGTTGCCGGCCCTGAAGACTGCCGGGAAGCAATCGCCTTTGTGCTCGAGATGCTCGATCATGTACTCGGCCGGCGAAATGACCAAATCTCGCAGCTGCGAGTCGGAGTCCCGGACTACGAGCACGACGGGCGGCAAGTGGTCCACCTGTGCGCACGGCGCAGAGCGTGGCACGACGTCAAGTGCTGCGAACACGTCGCCCCCGAAGGTAAAGAAGGACGACCCAGAGTCGATGACGAGCAAAGGGCGGAAGTAGTTCGAGATGGGAGCACCGTGGAGGTGCACGTCGACGTCGGGCGAGTCCGCCTCACTGGCGGATTTGAACGTGTGGTTGCCAACCTGCAGGGCGACCAACTCAAGCGTCCAGTACTCCTCCTGCGGCACCCGGTACCAGGTCAGCGGCCCGCGATGGAGGCGCGGGTCCACCGAGCCCCACAGGATAGCACCTTCGGCTGCGCACGCCCTGCTCTATGACTCTATGACGGGAACATGAGCCACCGATCAGGCCGCGGCCAAGCGATCATACTTGCTGTTGCCGCTTTCTACCCACGCATGCGCGCTGTGGGGCTTTTACCTATCCGTACTTCGTGTCAATAACTTTCGCTCGTCTTCCGCTGAGTCGTTTCCTGCGCGCTGCCGCTTTTTTTTTTTTTTTTTTTGTTTACTTGTCTTCGCGACGATATTTGATGCTATGCCGTTCTGGCGCCGAGGGTAGGAATGCGCGGGGCCCGCCGACTTGTCTGAGATGGTTGGTTAGACTCCAATACATACTCCTATTGCTACACTATATATATATATATATATGTCTATATGTATATCGATGTATATCGGTGTGCATACACCTACTTTCTTTATCTATGTTTATGTCTATGTATACACACTGTCAATATGTATATCGATGTATACATTTATCTGCGTGCAGATACATGTGCACATGTACATACATGTTAACCAGCGTGGATTCCGAGCCATGCGTTTCTGGCAATGCATGCGATGCGGTGTAGGACAACACGTGTGGTGCAACCTATGTGAAACAACAGATGTGGTGCAGCAGATGTGGTACATTTTATGCTGTGCAAACTAGGTTGTGCAGTTTACGATGTGCACTATATGTGGTGCAGTCTATGTCGTGCAATCTATGTGATGCCATCTTTGGGATGCAATCTATGTGGAGCAATCTATGTAGTGTAATTTATTTTTACCCATGATTTGACACATCCCGCACTCTTGCAAACATCCCACCCACCCACCCGCAACTTGGTTTGCAAAACCTCTTCAGACCGACGACGTCACCGACGACAACGACTACGACGACACTGACGACGTCTCCGACGACTTCGACGATGACAACGACGCCGACGCCGACGTCGACGACGACGCCAACGAAGACGACGACGAGGGAGGAGGAAGGACGACGACGGCGACAACGATGACAACGACGACAACGACGAGGGAGGAGGGAGGACGGCGACGACGCGAACGACGAAGAAGGAGGAAGAACGGCGACGCCGACGACGACAACGACGAGGGAGGAGGGAAGACGACGACGACAACGACGACGACGACGACGACGACGGCGACGAAATAGGAGGGACGACGACGAGACGCCGACGACGGACGACGACGACGACGAGGGAGGAGGAGGAAGGACGACCACGGCGACAACGACGACGGAAATGACCACGACGCCAAGGAGGACGACGACGACGAACACGACAGAGGACGACGTAGGCGACGACGACGACGACGCGGGAGGAGGGAGGACGGCGACGACGACGACGACGACGACGACGACGCAAGAGCGCGCGTGCGCTCGCTTTTGTTGAAAATCCGTGTTGCGAAACCTTGTGTTTTTGTATGTTTTTTGGACGCACGATTTTGAAATCCTTCCGAAACCGATGGGTTTTGAAGGTTTTCGGCATACGCGCGCGACGACGCGCGCCTGCACTTCGTCCCATTTTTTGCAGAGCATTCTCGCGACGGCACACGCGCAAGGGCGTTCGACAGATTTCGACATGCGCGCGCGAAACCCGTTTGGTAGCATGTTGTGAAAATCTTGAAAAACCAATGGTTTTCTTAAGATTTCGCAAGAGCTCGCGCAAAGTTTTTTTTTGCAAATCAGTGTTGCGAAACCCTTTGTTCTTGTATGTTTTTTGGAAACTCGATTGCGAAATCCTTCCGGCACCGAAGGTTTTCGAAGGATTTCGGCATGCGCGCGCGACGACGCGCGCGTGTGCACTTCGTCCCATTTTTTGCAAGGGATTCGTGAACAAGTGTTATGTTAGAACAAACAATGTCACCGCATAGTGTTTTTAACAAGGGAACCTCAGGGGGGGTGATACCGGTTGGCATTTGACATTGTGATTTCATAATTAAGATGGACATGTGGTCATAATCATATATGATTTACATACCCGAAGGGTGAAGCGATATCTCCGGGGGGGGGGGTAGATCCTATTCTGTCTTTACAAAGGAGAATCTATGTGGAGCTACCTATGTGGTGCAACCGACTCCCCGACTCACCGACTTCCCGACTTGCTGACTCCCCGACCTCCCGACTCCCCGACTCTCCGATTTGCCGATTCCCCGACTGGCCGAGTCCACGACTCCTTGCCTCCTCGACTCCCCGACCGACTCGGCTCTCCGACTGGCTGACTCCCCGACTCCCCGATTCCCCGACTGGCCGTCTCCCCGACTGGCAAACTCCCCGACTGGCCGACTCCCCGACTCCCCGATTGGGCGACTTCCCGACTCCCTGACTCCCCGACAAGACGCCTCCCCGATTGCCTAGGTGGTGCAAACAGGATTGTGCAATCTATGTGTTGCCATCTGTGTGGTCCAGTATCTGTTGTACAATCTTTGTGGCGCAATCCATGTGGTACAGTAAGCGTTGTGTAATGTATGTGGTGCAATATATGTTGGACAATATATATGGTACAATCTTTGTGGTGCAATGCAACTGCAAAGCAAAGCAATGCAAACCAAAGCGAGCACTGCAATGCAATTCAATGCAATGCGTATCACGACGTAGCAATGCGCGGGCGGCGACGAGGCGGCGACAGTGGCCACACAGCCGCCAGACCGAAGACACGGCCCAGTTCCTTAGAACGGGAGCAGGATTCACTAAGTGCAAGCACTGTTAGGGGAAAGTGTGCACCCCCCCCTCTGCTCTGCCACCTAGCTGGCCGATATGCGTTTCATCGGAATAGTTCCATCCTGCCTGCAAGAAGCAATTCGAAGTCCACGTTCTCCCTTTCAGCATGGACGTTTTGTCCTCGATGTCGGCAATGCGTTGCAGGAGCGAGCGGATGGCGCGCGAAAGGGCGAAATTTCGCGCTCGCCTCGGCGCCGCGCCAAGGTTTCACGGGAGTGGAGCTGCCGCCTGAGCGCGTTGCACATGCTCGCTCGCGGATTCGCCGACTCGCGAGAGGCCGAAAATGTCGCTCTCGCTCCGGCGCCGCGCAGATTTCGCGTGAAAGTGGCGCTCGCGCCTCGGCGCAGGTCTGTCAATCGCCAAACCGTCGGGGGCGGGGCCGCGCGCGAGCGCGCGCCTTCTCGCCCTCGCCCAGGTTCCGTTTCAAGTTTCGCCCGGAAGTGGTGCTCCCGCGTGGGCGCGGCGCACATTACGCTTGCCGTGTGTAGCATTCCAAACAGCAGTGGTGGCAGGGCCACGCAGGAGCGGGCGACATGCGGTCCTCGCCCAAGCAGCGCGCAGCTTGTGTGTGAATCGTGGCAATGCAGCTTCGGCGCGCGGCGCATGCTCCGCCTTCGCCGCGCTCGCGGGACAATGGCCGCCCGAGGGGGGAGCAGAAATGCTTCGTCTTCGCCGCGGTGCCGCGCAAACGGTATTCTGACATGTCGCTCCTGCCCGTGCGCGACCCGCGTCCTCGCCAAGTCGTCGGAAGCGGGACCGCGCGCGAGCCAGGTTGGAACGCACTCCAGTCCCAATATCAAGTTGTACCATAACTGATTCTTATCTGACGGGGGTGAGGGAGGGAATTGGCGGGACCCGCGGGCTCGTGCGACCTGACTAACTTGTATCTCACTCGTATGCTTGACCCTGTCCCTGTTGCCCCTTCACCATTCAAACGTAGTTCTACTGCTGCACTTCCACCTGTTCAACTTTTCGCCTTACTCTCGGGGGCGCGCAAAGATGGATTAGCCATCCATGGATTTGGCGCGCGGTCGCCAAATCCATGGACCGGGGGAGGTGCCCTCCCCAAAATGCGACCGGTGCCGCCTCGCTCGGCGGCGGAAATCTGCGATTTCCCGTGGAAGCGGGACACGTCGCTAATCCACGCCCCCTTAATCCCTGTTTGCGATCGCCTGATACTCCTGCTCCCCTGCGTGCTACCGTTCTCCTGGTCACGAATGCGCTTTCGTTCGCCCTGTTGGCCTGCTCCAGCCCTCCCCTAGAGCTCCTCCACGGCGCGCGTCCTGGCGACCCTGGCGCTATCGGATAGCCAGTTGCCTCCTGCCCACCACTGGTGTGGAACGTCTGCGCGATCCTCAGCATGGGAGAAGCGGGTCCCGAGGGAAACGGCTCCTGGAGCCTGGGGCCTTCCCGGGACCAGTTCTTCATCCCGAATCCTTTTCTGACAGTCCCGGGGCCTGTGGAGGGCCTCCGGAAGCCAACAACGGCGACACACCTGGGGTTCCGCTGCCCTCAGGACCCGTTTCCCCCCTGGCGAGATTCGGCACGCGAGTGCGCTCCCGCCCGAGCCCCGTGCGCACTGCGGCCCCCCCATCGGCGCTCGGGGCGCCTCCGCACTTCGGACCACGGGCGCTCTCACACGGAGATCCCCCGCGGCTGCGGCCACGAGCGCGCCCATGCCTTGCTCCCGGGCCCACTCCGGCCTCCAGCAGCCATGCCGCGAGGAGCGTCCTCGTCACTCCAGCCCCCCGCCCCTCTGGCCGTGCGCTCTCCGCCGTCCCCGCCGTCCCCGTCGGCCACCGAGGCCGCCGCGTGAGGCGCCCCCGTCGCTGTGGCCCCGAGCGGGCTCCCGCCGAAGCCCTGGGCCCGCTCGGGCCCGCTGCCGCTCTTGTGCCGGGCGCCTCTTCCCCTCCGCGTCGGCGATGCCCCCCTCTGCTGCCGCCACCGGTGCAACGGAAGCCGCCGTGCGGAACGTTCTCGCACGTCTGGCCGCGAGTGCGCTGCCGCACGCGCCCCGAGCCCGCTTCCGCCCGCGGGCGCTGCTGCGCGAGGCGTGCTCGCAGTCTGGGCGCTCCCGGCGGAATGGCGGGCTGGCCGGCACGGCTCTGTATGACCGCCCAGCGCGAGTGCCGCCACACGCACGCCCAGAGTGGGAAGCACGGGAGGTGCGGCGGAGCTGATGCGCATCCGGCTATGTCAATGGGCTTGTGTGTCCCGCGAGCGTGGCAGAAGTTCAGCCGACTCGGTCTGTCAATCTTGAACGCTGGTCCTGCTAGCGTGCGTGTTTGGAGTGCTGAGAACCACGGATGCCACGTCTCGAGACAGTCGCCCGTTTCAATGCTCTCTGCGATCCCCCCTGGCTTGGAACTGCACCTCCGAACAATTAGGTTTGTGCGTGTGACCCGGATCCTGGCGCAATTTCGCGGGTGGGCTGTCTCCAGCGGGTGGGACCTCCCAGGGGGTGGAGCAGCATGGGCGCGCCGAGGAAGCCTCTTGTGTGAGGTCCCTGGGCAACAGCATTCAAGCGAAAGATCCTGCGCCGCGTCCAGGATCCTGTTTGAATCACATAATCGCACTTGGTATTCCTACTGCACTCTGTTTACATGTCGGGTTGACAACGAGCGAATTTTAGGCCAGGCCAGTCCCCGTGCCTCTATGGTTCTTACGGTGGGGTCGTTTAATCAGGATCTCGTTGGCATTGAATCTGAAATCTCACGGGCACAACGTTCCCGAACAAGTTATGTGAGGGCTCTTCAAGCCATGGGGCCCGACCACACCCTGAAACGGGAGTGCCCGAGGGCCCCCTCGCCTTCGAAGAGAATACTCCCCAACAAACCAAGTCATCCTCCGATCTGTTTTTCAGTCGATACGCGGTCCATGAGCTCGCGATCGCATCCCGGGGGGCAGTTTTGGCAGTCTTGCCACCCGGATTCATCTCTGATGCCCCCCCGGGGCCCGATAACCGATAACGGGCCGCAGAGGTCGAGATCGAGGAACATCGCAGGGATTGAAAAACCAGATCGTCGGAGATCTGGGAACAGCTCCAGCTCACGGGGCCGGGGGGGCGCACGGACCTCCGGCGTCGCGCCCAGGGTGGATGTAGAAAGCGAACTGCGGCTCCCCGAGCTGTGGCGCCAACCTCTCCCACAGCGAAGAAGAGGAAGAAGAGCCGAGGGCGGGGAAGCCGAGCCCGACGACTCCGTCGAAATGCATCTGGAACGCGGTGCCGTGCTGCTCCGAGATGAGCCCGATCTCCAGGCGCCTGGCGAGGATGGACCCCACACGCACGTCGTCGATGCCCACCTCTCCTCGCAGCTCGCCGCTGCAGTACTCCGTGTGGATGGCCCTGCGCGGCACAACCGCCTCGTACGTCTCCGAACGGTTCGGGCTGTACCTAATGTGGTCCGCGTCAGCGCATGGCCCGGCCGTGCACAAGCTGGAGGCCAGCCAAAGCTCCGAGCTGCCTGTGTCGAAGACGACGCGCAGCGTGGACTCGGGGCGGGAGACGTTGTCGGCGCCTCTGACGGTGCCGACACCGATGGTGGCGACGTACATGGATTCGTAGAAGTTGATCATGCGCCGCAGCGGCGACACCACCTCTGACAGCATTGGACAGCCACATGGGAAACGAGCCGACAGGGTGGGGGGGACCACACGAGGATGCTACGGGAGTGCTGACGCGGATGCCCTGGGAAGCTCCTGGATGCCTTACGGAAGTTCTGGGGAACTCGAGGCCCTCCTCGTCCTAGCCCGGGAATGCCTGGTCACTGGTCGCCGCCACGTTGGCGATGCAAGTGGGCAATGCCAGTGCGACAAGGGCTCCGCGCAATCCCGCTGTCCCAGAGGCCCCTGGGAGGCCGCAGCACAGTGACACTGCTGCCAAAGACCCTTGGGAAGCCCCTTGGGAGGCTCCTGATAGTTCCGGAAGGCCCTTGGAGGATGACGTACAGCCGGGCTGTTGAAATAAGGAACGCGGAATAAGGAACGCCCCCCGTTTCTGGCACCGCGGCTAGAGTAACAACCACGGAAGGATCCAATGAACAGCGAGCCCCTTCCGAACTCAAAGCGGTCCTTACTTCACCGTCGTGGCTGTAGGCGCGAGCGCGGGCGTCGCCGCAGGCACGGGCGCAAGCGCGGTTGTGGGCGTGCAGGAGGGCTAGAGCAGGCGCGAGCGCTGGCGCTGGCTCGCGCGCTGGGGCACCCTTCGCCGGCTCGGGTGAGACCTCGCAATAATATGGGGAAGCCTTGGGGAAGGCCTGGGGGCCCGTGGGGAGCTTGCGCGAGACAGTTTGGAGGTACTGGCGCGATACCACCGAACTGCAGTGGTTCATCCACCGCGTTGTCGCTGGGGTGTGTTGCGGCCCTGCGACAGCGCTTCAGTCATACAGTGCCATCGTTTTGCGATGTTGTGCTAAAGACATTGATCCAACGCGCTACTGCCAGAGGGTCCCGTGCTGCTGCTGCTGCTGCTGCTGCTGCTTCTGCTGCTGCTGCGCGACAGTGCTACTTTGCTTCGGAAGCTCGTTCCGCGCGCTGCTCCCCGTGAACCTCGGGGCGCTGCTGCAGCGAGGCCTCGGTCGTGTTGCGCCGCTGCAGTGCTGCCCGAGGTGGCGCCGCGCCGCAAGACTTCAAGGAGAGCCGTTCGTGGAGACCACCCGAGGTGGTGGCGCCGACCATGGCAAAAGCGGCGGGCGGGCCACGCCGCAAGGGGGCCGACAGTCCTCGCGCCAATGGCCGCGGGCAGCGCCGAGGGAGGCGCGGAGGGGGGCTCTTCTGGGCACGGCGCGCCTCTGCCACGAAGCGGCCCCGCGACCTGGATGGCAGGAGCGGCCCCGAAAATCAGAGCACCCCCCTCCTGCTGCTTGCGACTCAGCAGAGGATGATCAACCATTGAAATCATATCGCAAATAATGCCTCTCGATGCGCCGCGTGCTCCGTGTGCTCTCGTCCGGCGTCGGCAGCTGCCTCGGCGATCGCGCGCACCAGCTGCTGCTGCTGCTGCTGCTGCTGCTGCTGCTGCTGCTGCTGCTAACGGCTGAAAGAGACAAGGTCTGTAGCCGTGCACACCTTTCCTGCCCCTCCCGCCCGGCAAGGACCTGGGCGGGAGGGGGGGGCTCATGAGGGAGAAGGTGAGAAAAAAGGGAGGACGCAAGACAAGACTGTGGGGCTCGACCCCATGAGGCCCTCCCTCCTCCTCCTCATCCCCCGAACGGTCTTCGTCTCAGCGTCGTGACTGTGGCACGGCGCGAGCAAGACGTCGTTCTCGTTCTGTACACCGTCTGCGCTAAAACGTTTTGTGTGTGTGTGTGTGTTGTGTTGTGTGTGTGTGTGTGTGTTTTGGTAAACAAATAAAACCGAACACGAGCGGCGCCATCCCCCCCAAGCCGGCTTCGTTCCAAACCGCCGCCCGCGAGAGCGGAGGCAGAGCGGCCGCGCGCTGGCGCCCGAGAGCAGAGCGAGGCGATCGACGCGGCACGCAGCGAAAACAGCAGAACCAGGTCTTGCTCGCGCCCTTGGACTGTTGAGGGGGGCAACGACAGGGGCGGACTGGCAGAAAGGGGGGGAAACGTCGACCTGGAATCGGCGATACCTCGCCGATGTATCGGCGATAGCCCTTCGAAGACAACTCCGCCCCCTCCCGGGCGGGGCGGGGCTATCGGACCCCCGTCGGCCATCGGTGGGCGATTGGGGTCTATGCGTTCCCCTCTATGCCTATCTCCCCCCATCGTTGCCCCCGACCTCTGCGACGCTTGGTGGCCTTCGGGTCATAACTCAAACCTCTGGCGGCCGTTCGGGGCGATCCGGGCAGCCCCGGAACGCCCTCGGCGAGGCGCAGCCGCTGGGAAGCATCCCGAGGCCAGAAAACCGCCGAGGGCTGCCGAAATGGCCCGAGGACCTCGAACCTCGAACCTCGTTGCCCTGGACTCCAGATCCGAAGAAACGGCCGCCCGAACGAGCGGCTTCTGCTTCGCCGCAGGGCCTCCCCCTGCTTCCCACCGCTCGCGCGGGCGCGCCGCGCCGCCGCAAAGGAGGCGCCGCGCCGCGCCTGCCTCTCCAGCACCCCCGCTGGCCGCTGCCCCGCGGGCGCGACGGGGGACCTGGGGGGGAGGCAAAGACGCACCAACACCAGAGGAAGACAGGACAACATACACATGAACTTTCGACGGTCCGCAAGGGGCCTCCGAAATGTCGGCAACCTGCCCAGACCAGCAAAAGAACAAACGGCACATACATAAACTTTTGACGGTCCGCGCGGACGTCTTGCATCCGCGCTGGACCCCCCCTCCCTGGCGCGCGGAGCGCGCCAGGGGCGGCGCCGGAGGCGCCGCCAGGGCAGGAGGAGGAGGAGGAGGAGGAGGAGGAGGAGGAGGAGGAGGAGGAGGGGGAGGAGGAGGAGGAGGAGGAGGAGGAGGAGGAGGAGGGGGAGGAGAAATCCACGCGGACCGTCGACAGTTCATGTTTATGCCGTTGTGTTCTTGCACGAGACACCGCCGCTCCGCAGGCCTCTCCGTGGGTGCGCGGCGACCAGGGCTGCGATACGAACCCCGCGGTGGCGGCGATGGGGAGGGCAGCGGTGTCGGTATCTCTTCTCCTCCGCGGAGGACCGGGTGAGATGGGTGATCTTCGGTCCAGTCTGGCGCCCGAGGGTGCGCCGCAGGCGGGAGGCGCTGGCCTAGAAGAAGAACAAGCTCGGCGGCGAGCGAGGGGGGAAGTGAGAAGGAGAAGGCCTTCTCAGAAGGTTGGGAAGTGCCCAGGCCTTGTGAAAAGTTTTCTGAGCCTTCCCCGAAGACACACGAACCTTTCAGAAGGCGTGAGGGCTTCTGAGAAGTCCAGCCGCCCTCTGAGAGGGTCTTCTCCTTCTCACTTTCCCCCTCGCTCGCCGCCGACAAACGGGCACAATCACAACCTTCCGAAGGTCAGCGCTAATTTCTTGGATCGGCGCTGGAGCCCCCTCCTCGATATTCGGGGCGCGCGGGAAGGGATCGGCGTCGGAGGCGCCGCCACCGGTGGTCCAGCGCAGATCCAAGACATCCGCGCGGACCATCGAAGGGTTTTGTTTGTGCAGCTCTTTGTTCTTCGATAGCCCGCGGCAGCGAGCAGGCGGACAGTAGCAGCAGCAGTTGCAACGGCAGCAGCGCCGGTCCCGCCAGGCGGCGCGGCGGCGCATTGGGCATCGCCTGGGCTCTCCCTGATCCTCTGGGGGGCGCCGGGCGGCTGGGGACGGTGAGCTTGACTGAGCTTGCGTAGGCGTGGCTTGGGCCAAAATAGGTACAGCGGCTCACGTGCGGACGGTGACGGCGACAGCTGCCCGCGTATGTCTGTCCGAGATGTCCAGGGTTCATCGTGTTCGCGGAGCAGTTACTCCCCCCATCTCTCGGTTCACATGTCCTGTTCCCTCTCCCTCTCCCTCTCTCTCTCTCTCTTCTTCTCTCTCCTTCTCCCTCTCTCTCTCTCCACAACTCTCCCCTCTCTCCCTCGTACATGCGCACGTTCTCCCCAAACCTCTCTGCCTCTCTACACGTCTCTCTCCCCCCCTCGTTTCTATGTTGATCGCTGCAGCATTCTGCACCCGCCTCTACGGTTTTGAAGCACAACGAGCGGGCAGCCCAGAGGGGACCACCCACCCGCCGCCTGCTGTCTTGGGCCGAGCACCTGATGACTTGCGCAACCGCCAGACGAGAAATCGGCGCACTGGAGGGCCAATTCCTTCTAAAAACGAGCGGCCCAGAAGCCAAAGCCGACGAGTGAGTGAACGAACTGCGCACCCCTGGCAAGGCAGGCGGAACAACCACGAGAAGCACAGGGCGCCACGCGCCGATGTCGGCCCAGCGTGCGGGCCAGTACCACGCCCGAGCCCACGTCCAAGGCCCCGCACAAGTCCACGCCAGAGCCTGTGTCCAAGCAGCACCTGTGCGCAGACCCACGCCCAAAAAGCTGCGTGGGGCGACCACGGCCCGACCTTTGGCCTCCAGCCAGCTCCTCGCGGTGCAGGCCAGAAGTCCTCGAGGGCAAGCGCCGTGGAACCAGCAGCAAGCACTGGCCACGCAACTGGTGGCACGATCAAGCCCGCTTGTGCACCCCAACTCAACATACGGTCCTCTGCAAGTTCAGGTGCGTCAAGCAGCAGGGGATGTCAGTCGACTACTTTCGTTATTTTCACTTGTGCGCAGATGCTGACATACGGAAAAAATTAGGCCTCCGCAGAACCGATGCCAATGACCATTTAGTCTTGGCACTCGTCGTCTTTTGCTGTCGGATGAACACTGAATCGCTCCATGCCACGGTGAAAAGCCCCATGCCCATTCTCCTAACTCCACATCAAGCCGGACACTCCTCTTGGACAGCTTGCGACCCGTGCACAGCCGTCCCAGACTGCTGTGTGACGCGCCACCAGGCACCGCCGCCGGCCCGACGACACCCAATGTTTTTGCTTTTCCGCCTCAGAAGCCACACAAGAAAACAGTTTGAAAATGTCGTCAAATGGTCCCATGGGTTTCCCTGAATGCCCCAAGATCGTTCAGACGGGCTCCAGGACCCTCCATCTTCCCGCCCATGGCCCCATCACTTCCCAAAGGATACCCTTTCGGTCCACTGCATGCAAGCATCTTGATCCAGAAGCCTCCACATACCCTCAGATGGCCCCCAAGACGCCTCCGAAATGTCGACAAAATGCCCAGAATAGAAAAACAAAAAAGGCATTGACATACACTTTTGACGGTCCGCGCGGATATCTGGGATCCGCGCTGGACCCCCCTCCCTGGCGCGCGGAGCGCGCCGGGAGCGGCGCCAGAGGCGCCGCCAGGGGGCCCAGGCGCCGATGAAAGAAATCCGCAAGGACCGTCGACAGTTCATGTTTAGGCCGTATTTTTTCGTCTTCGACAGAAGAGGCTGAAAGTGGCCTTCTCAAAGCTTCAAGAGAGAACGCGGCAACCCTGCAGTGCTTCAGCTCTGCCCCCCGCAACAGCGTTGTTGTAGAGCTTCCCCAGGCTCGCTGGCGGGCCTGCGCTGCAGCGCAGAGACGTTCTCGAGCAGTGCCTGCACTGAAGGGTTCCTTGGCATGTGAAGCCTTACCCTGCGTGGGCCTCGATCTCCGTCGCCGTCCTCGTCTCCGAGGCTACCCCCAACCCTGGTGCTGCAAGAGGAGGAGGAGGAGGAGGAGGAGGAGGAGGAGGAGGAGGAGGAGGAGGAGGAGGAGGAGGAGGAGGAGGAGGAGGAGGAGGAGGAGGAGGAGGAGGAGGAGGAGGGGGAGGGGGAGGGGGAGGGGGGGGGGGCACACCAACCCTGGTGCTGCCCTGCGCGGGCGCGAATTCCTCTCGCTGCCCTTAGCTCCTGGCTGCCCCTGGCCGTGGTGCTGCGCTGCGCGGGAGCCAGCTCCCCTCGCCGTCCTTGTCCCCGGCTGTCCCCGACACTGGGCTGCGCGGGCGCGGGCGTGACCTTCCGTTGAGGGGCAACGATAGGGGGGGGGATAGGCATAAAGGGGGGAACATCGACCTGGAATCGGTGATACATCGCCGAAAGGTCGGCGAGAGGCCCCCGATAATGAAGCCGCGCGTTCCTGGGCAGGTTGGGGCTATCGGGCCCCCGTCGGCGATCAGAGGGCGTTCCCGACCGTCCCCATCCGTCCCCGCCCTGGACCTTCGCTGCGCGGTCGCCGACTTCCTTCGCCGTGCCCCAGGGTGCTGCCCTGCGCCTGCGCGCGCCGGCTTCTCTCGCCGTTCCTGTCCTCGAATATCCCCGGGTCCGCTGCTGTCCTGCGAAGGAGCGAACTGCCTTCGCCGCCCACGTCCCAGGCTGTCCCTGGGCCCCAGCCCCCGTGCTGCCCTGCGCCTTCGCCCGAAACTCTGTCGCCCGCCCTGTCCCTGGCCTCAGCGCGGTCTTCGGTTATTCTTGATCGGGTCCGCGCGCGGGTCTCGCAAGCCTGTACGCCATGGTCGGTGCACGCGTGCGCAGCTTTACGCACACGATCTCGGCCTTCGGAGCCGGCGCAACACGGACGCTGCGGTGCGAGGCTGTGCGAGGCGATGCAACTCAGTGGGCGGCACGGCGATGCAACCAAAGTGCGTCACAACAGCGGTGCAACGCGACATGGCGCAGCCAATGGCATCCCGTGCACCCCGGCGGGCGCGAGGGGGCTCCGTGGCCGGGACGCCTCGCCGTGGCGCAGCCCGCGGCGCCCGGAGGCCCCCGCGAGCGGAAGGGATTCTGCGGGCGGGGCCCGTGGCGCAGCCCATGGGGGCACTACCTGTGGCACCTCGCTCGTCGTCGTCGTCGTCGTCGTCGTCGTCGTCGTCGTCGTCGTCGTCCTCGTCGTCGTTGTCGTCGTCGCCCTCCTCCTCCTCCTCCTCCTCCTCTGTCTTGTCGTCCTCCTCCTCCTCCTCCTCTTCCTCTTTCTCTTTCTCATTTTTTTCCTCCTCCTCCTCCTCCCCCTTCTTCCAATCCCCCAACCAACCCACAAACCAGACCCTCCGAACAAGTCTGCCAGTTAAGCGCGATGGCGACGCTGCAGCACACAGATGCGCTCCAGATCGGCCGCACCGTTACGATCATTCAGTTGTGGAGAATTACACAATAATGCGGCCACTACGTCTGATCTTGTATTCAGGAGCTGAAAAGATCCTGGGCCAACTTTTCGATACACTAGCATTGCTATGCACTCAGTAGAAAGTTCGTCCGAACGCGGGTCGTAGATCCAGATCGTACACATCCAACGCATTTTTTGTTTTTGCGCAGAGCCAACCGTGGCAACGATAGGGCTCCTGAGGCGGCAACGCTGTGAACAAATGCAACGCCATTAAGCAATATCAGCACCAACATATCAGGTGGACTCCACTGGATTTGTAAAATCCCTGGACACCCTTGGATGAGCTGGCCTTGGTCCCCGATGGGCTCGATATTCGCTTACCATTGCTCTAACACAAGATCCCGCGTCAGCATGCATACGGCATCGAGGCTGTCCGCAAAACTTCCGAGCCCCAATCCAGGTTTCTGGAAGGCGAGACCCCACCCTGGCGAGGTCCGCAAGCGTTCAGTGAACCTTGCCCCACCCTCCGCTTCCTGACCCGCACTCCCCGGTCTGTGCCATCTCCATCTCCCTCGTTTGCAAGCCCTCGCCGTCGGCCTCCTTGTCTTTTGCTTCGCCTGGCGCCGCTCTGAAGAGTCAGCCCTACTCATGCGTGTCACATCCCTAGCAACCCGCTGCAGTGGGATCCGCGCCTGGAAGTGCAAACACGAGAAGGGCACCGCCTCTGTGCAGGACATCAAGTCTACATGGCCTCCTCTGAGGTTCATGCCTCCTGTCGCTGATTGTACTCCATATCTTCTACAATTGTAGAAGTGCCTCCCCCCAGCTACCCCCCGCAGTGTCTGAGGATCATACGGCGACAGACGTCATTCTGTGGTTCTAGTGGAATTGGTGTTCAGAAGCTTTGGATGTCCTCACCTGCTGCGACCTGTGCTACTTGCTGCCCGAAGGCCCCCAAATGCCACTCCGGACTGCGCGACAGCAGCAAGCAGCCAGGCTAAAAGCACGCAGTACCCATGGCGCAACAAATGAGCATCCATCTTGCAGAAGGAACCCTGCTGAGGCAACGTGGACGAAATAGATCCACTGGCGCACGCCACAACTATTTCATGGAATGCACTACAAACGCGCTCCTTTTTGAAACAAATTACCTCCCAGCATGAAGGGCATGTGCGGCAATTGGGAAATCAAACAAACGCGTTCGCGCGCGCAAACACGCAATACTCAAGTCTAGAATCTGCCGGTCTATGGATACCAACCTGTCCGCATCGGCTTCAATGGGGCATGGCTGCGAGCACAATTTATTGCATGCGTTGTGCAATGCGTGTTGGATGATATGCTCAAGCCGGCATTGTCTGTATCAGCCAGGACATCAATACTGAACTTGAAGGAGCGATCTCCTGCTTTGGCCGCCAAGATGATGGCTCTCTTTTCTGGATCTTTGAACTCCAAGTTCTTGGAATGCCAGCCCTGGCAGGATCTTATATTCTGACCGCATGTCTGACGCAAATATTAAGCCCCCCGTCGTATTTCCAGCATGCCCAAACCAAGACCTGTGTGACGAATGATTTCGATAATTGCAAGTCCTTGGCGATCCTTGGCCCATCATGGCAGATGATCTGTATAATCCCCACAGGGTGCTTGCACTTAGGGGTTCTTGCATCCTTTCTAAGGAATTGGGCAGGTGTGGCGGTCTGGCGGCTATGCCGCCGTCGCCGCCCCGTCGCCGCCTCGTCGCTGCCCGTCGTTTGGGCCGGCGTGGCGATCCGGGGGCTATGTGGCCGCCTTCGCCGCCCCGTCGCCGCCTCGTCGCCGCCTGTCGTTTGGGCTGGTGTGGCGGTTTGGCAGCTATGATGCCGACGTCGCCGCACCGTCGCCGCCACATTGGTTTCGCCGCATAGATTGAACGGCGTAGGGTTTTCTATTAAATAGTTATGGGGTCACCGCCCCTGGACTTAACGGCCCTCCTTGTCGTAATGCACGTTGCATATGTCTCTGCCCCCGCGACCATCCTTAATTTGAGTTCGTACCATTCCAGGCAGGTTAGTAACACTTCTCCCCTCATCCTCTGCAAAACATACGGTGCGCGCATTCGTTTATCACACATCGTCGTTCCCAAAATCTCTCTTCAAACAGTGGGACGAAGTGCGCACGCGCGTGTCGTCGCGCGCGCATGCCGAAATCCTTTTTAAGCACCTTAGGTTTTTGTGCGAATTTCAAAACTACGTGTCACGAACACATGTACAAACACATGGTTTCGCAACACGTGTTTTCACGAAAAGCCTGCGCTCGCGCTGTTGCAAAAGTCTTAAAGAATCCATCGATTTCCAAATTTTCACACCATGCTACCAAGCGTGTCTCTCGCGCGCGCATGTCGAACTCGTTCGAATGCCTTTGCGCGCGTACGATCGCAAGGCCTTTTTGCAAAACAATGGGGCGAAGTGCGCACGCGCGCGTCGTCGTGTGCACATGCCGAAATGTTTCCAGAGCCTCAGGTCTCGTCGTAAGGAATTCAAGAACGAGTGTCCCGAACACATATAAACCATACGTGGTTTTGCATCATCAATTTTCAAAAAGCGTGCGAGCGCTCTTGCGACTCCTTGGAAGGGAACCGTCGGTTTTTCAAACCTCATCACACAATTCTGCCAAACGGGCCTCTCGCGCCGCATGTCGAACTCATCCGAAAGCCCTTGCGCGCGTGCTGGGGGACACGATCCGTGTCAAACAATTCCACGCGGGCCACTCGCGCGCGTCGGCAGCGCGCGCATGTCGAATTCATTCCAAAACGTTTATCACCGACGCGAGGACATCGTCATCGTTATCGGCGGGCGTGATCAACATCGGCGCCGTCATTGGCCTTGCCGTCGTCATCACCACCATCGTCACCATCATCGCTTCTCTAATCGTCGTGTCAACCGTTGTCGGCGTCGCCATGATACCACGCCTGCCCAAGTCACCGACTCGCACTGAAGTGTCCGCTGGAAGTGCCCAGCCGTCAGCGCCACCGCGGCCGCGTCGGCCGCGCCGCACTAGCTGGTCGCTGCGCGCGCGAGCATGCGCGGGCTAGCGCGGCCGCAGAGATGCACGAGCCAACGCCAAGCACTCATCGCAATCGCCGCCGCATGGTTTAGAACACCAAGTTGCAGGTGGGTGGGTAAGATGTTTGCGCGAGCAATGGATTTGACAATTCACTGCGGGCATTTGTGAATTGCGCCGCGTAGATTGCACCGCATATTTTGCATAACGTAAATTGCGCGACGCATATTGCACAGCATCTATGGCACCAAGTGTACTGTACAACGCAAATCGTGCAACGGAGATTGCCCCGCCCAGATGGTAACACATAGATTGTACCGCATAGGTTGCTCCACGTAGATTGCGCCGCATATGCTGCGCCAGCTCCACATCGATTGCACAGCTTCTTTTCGCCCCCTCCACGCGTCAAACGTCGATTCTCCTTTCTAAAAAAAGAAAATAGACTCGACCCCCCCCCGGACTTATCCGTTCCCCTTTCGGGTATGTAAATCATATATGATTCTGGCCACTCGTCCATCCGAAATATAAAATCATACCATCCCAGCCAGGTCGGGTTCCCCCCCTGAGGTTCCATGGTAAAAAACACAATGCGATGACATTTTTTGTTCTAACATAATATTTTCACGAATCCCTTGCAAAAAACGGGACGAAGTGCGCACGCGCGCGTCGTCGCGCGCGCATGCCGAAATCCTTCAAAAACCTTCGGTGCCGGAAGGATTTCGCAATCGAGTTTCCAGAAAACATATAAAACATGGTTTCGCAACACTGATTTGCTAAAGAAGCTTCCGCGCGAACTCTTGCGAAATCTTAAGAAAACCATAGGTTTCGCAAGATTTCACAAAATGCTACCAAACGGGCTTCGCGCGCGCATGTCGAAATCTGTCGAACGCCCTTGCGCGTGTGCTGTGTCGGGAATCCTCAGCAAAAAACGGGACGAAATGCAAACGCGCGCGTCGTCGCGGGCGTATGCCGAAAACCTTCGAAACCCATCGGTTTCAAAAGGATTTCAAAACCGTGCGTCCAAAAAACATACAAAAACCTAAGGTTTCGCAACACGGATTTTCAACAAAAGCGTGCGCGCGCGCTCTTGCGTCGTCGTCGTCGTCGTCGTCGTCGCCGTCCTCCCTCCTCCCGCGTCGTCGTCGTCGTCGTCGTCGCCTACGTCGTCCTCTGTCTTTTCTCGTGTTCGTCGTCGTCGTCCTCTTTGGCGTCGTGGTCGTTTCCGTCGTCGTTGTCGCCGTGGTCGTCCGTCCTCCTCCTCCCACGTCGTCGTCTTTGTCCGTCGTCGGCGTCTCGACGTCGGTTCTATTTCGTCACCGTCGTCGTCGTCGTTGTCGTCGTCGTCTTCCCTCCTCCCTCGTCGTTGTCGTCGTCGGCGTCGCCGTCCTTCCTCCTTCGTCGTCGTTCGCGTCGTCGCCGTCCTCCCTCCTCCCTCGTCGTTGTCGTCGTTGTCGTCGTTGTCGCCGTCGTCGTTCTTCCTCCTCCCTTCTCGTCGCCTTCGTTGGCGTCGTCGTCGTCGTCGTCTTCGTCGTCGTCGGCGTCAGCGTCGTTGTCGTCGTCAAAGTCGTCGGAGACGTCGTCGGTGTCGTCGTCGTCGTTGTCGTCGGTGTCCTCGTGGTCGGTCTTAAGAGGTTTTGCAAACCAAGTTGCGGGTGGGAGGGTGGGATGTTTGCGCGAGCAGTGGAGAGGACAGCTTCAAGTTGAGCAAGTGATTAATCCATCGCATAGATTGCACCACCTATATCGCACAGCGCTGGTTGCACAACACATATTCCACAGTCTACTTTGCACCGCATACATTGCCCACCGTACGTTGCACTACATACATTTACATATGTATATATATATATACACACATATTGCGCCAGAACACATGGCACACCACATGTTGCACCACCTATGTTATCCAACGTTGACCACAAACGTGTGTTTCTAGAAATCTATGTTCCACAATCGAGCATTGTATGCGGGGCAATCTAAGTGCTGCAAACTTTGTATGTCCTTCGATGTTGTACGATCTAAGCGAGGCAATATATGTAGTACGACCTCAATGGTGCAATCCATGTTGTGTAATCTATGTTGTGCAATATAGTTTGTGCAACATGGGTTATGACATGTCGGGTGTTCGGGTGGTGCAACCCAGATGGCCCAACACAGGACGTACAATATATGTTGTGCTATTTTTGAGCTGCGATCTATGTGGTTGAGCCAGGGTGGTGCACTAGATGTCGTGCAAAGTATGGTGTGCAACATATGTGGTACAATCTCAGTGGTACGATCAATATGGTGCGAGTGCGTGGCCCACTGTACGTTGTGCGAGTGGTGCACAATCTATGTTGTTCTATGTACGTTGCGCAACATACGTTGTGCAACATATGGTTTGCAATACATGTGGTACGTTCTGGCCGATGCAATATGGGTGGTGCAAAACATGTTGTGCAATCGATGTCGTGCATTCTATGTGCTGGAATTTGGGTGCTGCATTCTATGCGGTGCAACCCTTGCTGTGTATATGGTGTGCAACATACGTTGGGGCAAATATGGTGTGCAATCTATGTGATGCATTTTATGTGGTTCGGTCTAGGTGGTGAAGTCTATTTTGTGTAATCTAGTTGGAACAATTTTTGTGGTGCGCTCTATGTGGTGCAATCTATGTTCTACCACATCTGTGGTGTAATCTACGTGGTGCGATCGGTGTGGTGCAATGTGTGTGGTGCAGTATATGTTGTGTAACCTGTGTGGAGCAATCTATGCGGTGCAATTGGTTTTAACGAGTTGACACATCCAATGTTCTTGTGAGCATCCCGGGCGTTTATCCGCAACTTGGTTTGCAAAACCCATGCGGCGGTCCATCGCTGCGGCCGCGCCAACCCAAGCGCGCGCAGCGGCCGCGGCCGACGCGGCCGCGGTGGCGCTGACCGCTGGGCACATCCCAGCTGGCACTTCGCTGCGAATCGGCGACTTGGGCGGGCACGGTATCATGGCAACGTCGACAACGGTAGACGCGATGATGATAGTAGCGATGCTGGTGGCGATGTTGACAACGACGAAGGCGCGGCCAGTGCGGGCGCCGATGTTGATCACGCCGCGACGGCGTCTTCGCGTCGGTGATGAAAGTTCTGGAAAGAGTTCGACATGTGCGAGAGGCCGACGCGCGAGCGTGGCCCGCATGGTTTAATTTGACACGGGTCGTGCCGCCCCCCCAGCATGCGCGCGCAGGCGTGCGAGTGATGTTGGCGCGCGGCGCCACAAAAGCCCGTTTGGCGCACTTCCGCAAACCATTTTTTTTTTTTTTTTTTTTTTTTTTTTTTTTTTTTTTTTTTTTTTTTTTTTTTTTTTTTTTTTTTTTTAAAAAAAAAAAAAAAATATATATAAAAAAGCACAAAAACCAATGTTTTTTTTTTGGTCCGGAGAATGCTCGCGAGCGTGAGCGC